ATCAAAGAGGTGAAGTACCCGACATGGTTGGCCAACGTCGTCCTCGCACAAAAACCGCCGACGTTCAGAATGTGTGTTGACTACACTGACCTGAACAAGGCGTGCCCCATGGACCCGTTCCCTCTCCCCAACATTGATCAGCTGGTGGACGAGACGGCGGGGTGCGAGTTGATGTCGTTCCTCGACGCTTTCAGAGGGTACCACCCAATCTCCATGCATGAAGATGACGCCGAGAAGACGGCATTCATGACCCCGGAGGGAATCTTTTGCTACCTCGTCATGGCCTTCGGACTCAAAAACTCCGGCGCCACCTATACTAGGATGGTGGCCAAAATCTTCAGAGCGGTCCTTGGCCGGACGATGGAGGCGTACGTCGACGACATGATCGTCAAGAGCAGGCAGGCCATCTCCCACGCCGACGACCTCCGGGAGATCTTTGAAATCATGAAGGAGTTCAGGCTCCACCTTAACCCCAAGAAGTGCGCCTTCGGCGTCCAGGGCGGCAAGTTCCTTGGCTACATGGTCAGCCGGAGAGGCATCGAGATAAACCCGGAGAAGACGCAGGCCATCATCAACATGGAGCCGCCCCGCAACGTCAAGGAGGTACAGTGACTGACGGGGCGCCTGGCGGCCTTGAACCGGTTCCTCTCCAGGTCCGCCGAGAGGGCACTCCCCTTCTTTCAGATCATGCGAAAGGCCAACAGCTTCAAGTGGACGACGGAGTGCCAGGAAGCATTCGACGAATTGAAAAGGTACTTGTCGTCCCCGCCCGTGCTCTCCAAGCCCAGAGCCGGCGAAACCCTCTTCTTGTACTTAGGGGTGAGCACGTCGGCCGTCAGCTCCGTGCTCATCCGTGAGGACGAAGGGGTGCAGAAAGCCATCTTCTACATCAGCAAGACACTCAGGGAGGCCGAGCTCAGGTACTCCCCCATTGAGAAGACGGTGCTGGCCATCGTCCACACAGTGAAGAAGCTGGGGCACTATTTCCAAGCTCATACCGTCCATGTGCTGACCCAACAGCCTCTTGGCGCACTCATGAGGAGCCCCACAAGCTCCTCGAGGATGGTGAAATGGGCAATTTTCCTCAGCCAATTTCAAATTGAAATCAAGCCAAGGCCATCCATCAAAGGGCAAGCCTTGGCCGACTTCGTCATCGAATGCACAGCAAGGGACACGGCCGTCGCCAAACCCGGGCCGGAGCAGGACAATACATGGACCCTGTTCACTGACGGCTCGTCGGCCGCGAAATCATGCGGCGGCGGCGTCGTCCTCATATCCCCTGAAGGGTTCAGAGCTTACTATGCCATCCGCTTCAACTTCAGGGTATCCAACAACGAAGCCGAGTATGAGGCCCTCCTCAGCGGTCTCAGACTCGCCGCCGGCCTCAAGGCCAAGCACCTCAAAATCAAGTGCGACTCCAAACTGGTAGTGGGCCAGGTGGAGGGATCGTACGAAGCAAAGGAAGGCCGGATGAAGCAGTACAAACAAGCGGCGGAGGAGTTGCTGAAAGCGTTTGAAACCCACGAGATCACTCAGATCCCAAGGGCCGAGAACGCCGAAGCCGACATCCTCTCCAAGCTCAGCTCGGACACCCCGGAGCACATCTCCCAGTTGGCCAAGATCGAGGAGTTGAGCATGTCCAGCATCCATGCTAGCCCCGTCTTGTGCGTCCAACCGCGACCAGAGGACTGGATATCCGACATCGCCACCTTCATCACAACGGGGGAGCTGCCCCCGGACGAGGAGAGGGCCAAACTTGCCAAACTCAGGGCCCCAAGCTACACCATCGAAGATGGCAAACTCTACAAACGGTCCTATAATGGCACTCTCCTCCGATGCCTGCACCAGGACGAGGCCGACACAGCCATGGAAGAAGTTCATTGTGGCGTCTGCTCCTCGCACCAGGGCCCTTTCAGCATGTCCCGGCGTCTCGTCGTCCAGGGCTTCTTCTGGCCGACGATGGCACGCGACTGCGCCGACCTGGCCAGGAAGTGCACTACATGCCAGGTGCTCCAGAGGGCCCCTGGTCGGCCAGCTGTTAACTACGCCCCCGTAAGCACCGCAATTCCATTCTCCAGATGGGGGATTGACCTGGTCGGCCCCCTGCCCAGAGCCGCCGGGAATAACCGCTACATCATCGTCGCCGTCGACTACTTCACCAAGTGGGTCGAGGCGGAGCCCTTGGCCAGCATCACGGGGGCCAGATGCCAAAAATTTGTTTACAAGAACATCATCACACGCTTTGGCGTCCCCCAGGAGATCATATCAGACAACGGCACCCAATTCGAGGCAGCCCCTTTCCAAGAGCTCCTCCGGGAGTTTGAGGTAAAGCATCGTTTCTCCTCCGTTGCCTACCCTCAGGGCAACGGGCAGGTCGAAAACGCTAACAGAACAATTATGGAGGGGTTGAAGAAGACTCTCCAGGCCGCAGGAAGTAGTTGGGTCGACGAGCTCCCCAACATCCTGTGGTGCTACAGAACCACGTCGAGGAGGGCGACAGGTGAAACGCCTTTCGCCCTGTGCTACGGCTTTGAAGCAAAGGCGCCCACGGAAGTTGCCATCCCCAGCCGACGGGTGGAACAATACGAGCCTGACGCCAATGAGGAAAGCATGAAGATTGACCTGCACCTGGTCGATGAGAGGCGTGAGCAAGCTTACGTCCGAGCAGAGAACTACCGGCGTCAAGTAAAATCATACTATGACGCCAAGGTACGTTCCCGGGAATTTCAGGTGGGGGACTACGTCCTCCGCCGAAAGGAAGCAAGCCAGCCGACAGAGGGTGGCAAGCTAGCATTGAAGTACGAAGGGCCCTACATCGTCAGTGCCGTGGTCAAACCCGGCACCTACAAGCTTAAACGCCCGAATGGGTCCAATGTACCACGAACATGGAATGTACACCATCTGGTGAAGTTTTATCAGTAATCCGAAGGAGGTGTAGACGGCGAAGCCCTCACCCCTTAACGGGTTACTGATTGAACGCCACCCTCAGCCTCGAGCCACTTATGAATAAAATCATGTTCTGATTTTTTCTCTGGAAATTCAAAGTAAAACATTAGCAGGTGCCCTCGTCGGCCACTTTAGAGCGAAAGGCTCAGGTCTGGCCGACATGGCCCCTTGCATTTGCAGCCTACGAGCGACAAGCTCAGGCACTCCATTGTATTTTGTATCAGCGAAAGGCTCAGGCCTAGCTGAGAGAGCACATCGTCCTGGCCCCGTAAGCCTAGAAGTGAAACACTCAGGTATGGCCGACGATGTCCCCAGGACGAGGGGCCCGCAAACGGCCCACATCTTGAAACGGGAAGCTCACCGCGTCGTCCACGCGCCAGAACGCATGACGACAGGCCTGAAATCATGGTCGAGGTGACAAAATCCCAAAACTCAGGGATGGGCAACGACAGCCGTTGGAAACCGACCAAAAGTCTAGCCCGCGTCATAAATAGGCGACGGGACCCGCCCTGAGACCACGGACGTTATAAACGAAGTCTGAACCGGCCGAAGGACGAGCACACCCTTCGGCCGAAGCCTGAAAGAAGGATACCCCCCGAAACAAACAAAAAAAAAACATACAAGGGAAAAAGAGGGAAGCCGACGGCCGCGCACACTTGCCGGCCTCGAGCAATGAAAAAATAAAATCCCCACAACTCAGGCCCAACTAGGCCAAGTACATATCAGTTGAACACAAGTGTAGTAACACTGACAGGCAACATGGACGACACGTCCACACACTACGAGGGAATAATCAAGGCCGATACACACGCCTATAAAACCCTAACCACATCGGTTGGGTGACACGCGAGAGGTGACCTTCATCGGCCATAGTCCTTTGAGGCACCAACGCTTGGTATGAAACAAAGCATCGCAATCCTGAGGATAACCAGGACGAAGCGGGCACTCATCACACCCGCGAAAGGATCAAGCAATCAAGGAACAACCCCTACTTGCCACAGCATCTCGGATGGCCGACGCAGGCACTGGAACCAAGGCTGTTGGTCAAGCGAAAGTTCTCTGACCGACGAAGGTAGGACCACCCCCTTGGCCGATAGCGGTACCGCAAAGAAGTAAATGCCCAGCATTTACACTTGGAAAATTCTCTAAGTACTCAAGTGGAAGAACTCCGGACGAAGCGGGTACATATATACTACAAAGCCGTTAGCTACCTACACCTCTGCATGTGTACTTGGGAAAAATTCAAAGTCCAAAAGACTAAGGTGAAGGTGCCCTTATCGGCCACAACACAGGGATGCAGGCCGACAATGACACTGGTTCAACACTTGGCAAATCACCCCAACCATTTGCCAATAATGGGGAGAGACTAAACCCCATGGACGTAGCGGACACCACGATCAAGGGCAAAAGGACGTAGCCAAGGACCACCGGTCAAGCCGACAAGGCCACCATGCCACAAGGAAGCAACTGTAAAAACCCAAAAAATTTTGAAAAAATTCCTAAGTGTTATGAAACTACGTCCAGGCCGATCAAGCCACTAGGCCGTAAAGACAGCAGCTACATGGACCCAAAAACACTTGGGAAATTTTTGAAAAAAAATCCTAAGTGTTATGATAGTAAAGCAAAGATGAATAGGCCGACCAGACTACTGGACAGGAAGGCCGACCTCACGGACGTAGCGGACACTCGCGGGTGACCCAAGTTATGACTTGACACTTAGACAATTTACAGAATCGAAATGACAAAAGGCAAACAACCATACAAGGGATTCAAAGCCGAAAAGGACAGCAAAAATTTCTTCAATTGATAGTGAGTTCATTACAATTGGGGGCACTTCGGCCGTTCATTCATTTGGCAAAAAATTGAAAAGCTAATTACAACAGGGAATAGCCGATCAAGCCTCCGGGGCACCTTCATCCGCGGCTGGCTCTTCAACCTCATCAGCTCCCTCATCGGCCTCAGCTTCTTGGCCGGCAGCGGCTGCGGCGCTGGTGAAATCGTCTAAGAAATCAAATTCAGTATAATCCGGCTCGCCAAGGCCGGAGCTTTCTATGGGGGACTCTCGCTCCGACAGCGGAAGCTTGGACTGCTCTTCTGGATCCTTCATCAGCTTCGGCAGCTTCAGGTTCCGTCTAGCCCACCCAGACGTGTAATTCATGGCCTTCAACGCCCGGGATAGCCGCCGACACAGGAGCCTTTGCATCCGCTCCTGGCCCAGGTTATAATACACAGACATCTCTCGGCTGAAATACTCCCGGCCGGCGGGGGAGTTCATCCCCAAACTCTCAAGCTTGGTGGCCACCACCTCGTAGCACCAGGGGAGCCTCTCATCGGCCTTCCACCCCTCGGCCAGGAACTTCTCAACGGCCTCGTCGGCAGCCCTCACAGCGGCGGCCTCGGCCTCAGCTTTCGCCTTAACGGCCTCCTCGCTCTTGCGCTTCTCGGCCTCAAGCGCCCTTTGGGACTCCTCGAGCTCCCTTTTGCTCTCCTCGAGCTTGGCCAGGGCATCGTCCCTGGCCGCGGCGGCTTCATCAGCCTTTGCCTGCAACGCCTTGGCATCCTCCCGGAGCCGATCAAGGCAAGCTACCGCCTCGTCGGCCGAGGCAGCCTTCTGCTCCAGCCCTTTCAAGCGAGCTATCTCCCAATACTGCCTCTTATGGCTTTCCATAAGCATAAAGGCACTCTGCAGAAGGAAAACAAAGGTCAGGCAAAAGACTCTACACAGACGAAGAGAGACAAAAACATAGGGACAGTAACTTACTTGGACGAAGAGGTCCATGCCGCCCTCGTAAATCTTCTCGTCCCCGAGCTTCTTCAAGTAAGCCCGATCTTTGGCCGGCATGGCCTGGGCCAGGACGACGTGGCCAGGGACGAGATCATTAAACACGCCCCCGCCGACGGGGTATTCTACCACCTTCTGGTAGGTGGCACCGGCAATCTCCTTGCCGGCCCTCTTCGTCCGTGGTTCCTGGACGAGAGGAAGCGCTGGGGCAGCATCGTCAGCAACAGTAAGGTCCACGACGGGACCACCATCGTCCACGATGGGGACAGTCAGAGTACCGGCCTCAGTAGCCGGAGAAGGGGAAGGAGCCCTCTTCGTCTTCTTCGAGACGCTCACGCCGGCCTCAGTTAACTTTTTTTGGCCGTCAGTGGCCGGCCTTTTCTTCTTCGATGGAGCAGGCTTTGGGGCCGCATCAGCAGTAGCCCCGCTCCCACCGGCCGCGGCACGTCTGGCCGCCTCGGCCGCCTTAGCAGCAATCTCCTCGGCCGCTTTGGCCTTGGCAATAGCCATCATGGAACGACGGTCCATGACAAAATCTACAAAGGAAAAACACAAACAGATTAGTTAGGCAAAGGACAAAACATAAAGACAGAAAGCCGAAGAAAGAATTACCATCGGCCTCAGCAGGAATGCCCAAGTCCGGGCCGTCGGCCTCCTCAAAGGTGGTGGTCATCCTCGGCCAGAGTTGGAGGTCATCCTCCTTGTCACCATAGACATAGTACCTCACGAAGCCGAGGGCGGCCATCTTGTATTCAGTGATGTAATCCTTCACGCTCCTCGGCCCCCCTTCCAAGAAAGCCTCCACCTGAGCGTCCAAAATAGAGCTCTTCGGCGGGTCATGCAGGTTAAACCTCCCAGTGTGGCCGAGGGAGGGAAACTCAGTGCCACTCTCACCAATGGACACAAACACGAACTTGCTCTTCCACCCATGAATGGACGTAGGCAAATCCGTGAAACTCCTCTTCTTCGGCAGCTGTTGAAGAGTAGCATAGGCCGCACAATTCTTGTGGCTTCCTCGGCCGATCTGGTACAAATTCATGAATAAGGCCGTTGTCGGCCTGTAGCACAACTCCTCACACCGGAGCAAAAACCCCACCATCAGGGAGTAGCTGTTCGGCGTCAGCAGGGCCGGAGGAAGCCCTACCATGTCCAGGTACTCGGTAATGAAAGGGTGAAGGGGGAACCTCAACCCCTTAGCAAAACTCATCGGGTATACTCCAAAGTATCCCAGTGGCGGAAGAAGAACATGGTCCGTCGGCCTGGGTGCCCTAACCCGCCCGAACGGCCCCACGTACATCTGGGCAACGAGATAGTCGGCCGCACTGCTTTCCGGCTTGATCAGGAAGATGTTGGTGAGATCCAACTGGGAAGTGCCCGGCCCACTCTTCGACCTCCTCACTCTCTTCGGCTTAGCTGCTCCCTTCACGGCAGACACCGGCCTCGGGCACGGAATGACAGCAGAAGTGGACGCCCCGTCCACCACTCGGGACGCACCTACGTCCTCACCCTTTGAAGAGGAGGCGGACTCCTCGTCCTCGCCTTCCTCGTCCACTGGCTCTCCGGATTTGTATGGACTTAAACGCTATATCTCCTCCTCAAACTCCTCGAGCACCTCGTAGTCAAGCGACCTCGTGGAGGGCTGGTCGTCGTAGGGGTAGTAGTCGTCGTTCAAGCTCTTCATAACTACTACTACGGGCCTAAGGAGATTTAACTTAAGATCTAAGGGTGTTCAAACACCTAACACTAGATCACTAGTCTAGGAAGCAAAATATGAAAAGTGAGGAAGATCGTGATGAACACTAACCTTGAACAATGACGAACACGAAGAACAAGCTTGGGAGTTTATCTCTCTAGAAAAATGGGCAGCACTTCGACAATTCAGAATGCAAATGTGATTCCTCGTCGGAGGGGAAGGGGTATTTATAGACCCCTCCACCCAACGGTCACTACACGTGGCACTCTCCCAATGGCCACATCAACGGCCACCAACGGGAGGCCACCACGTCACCAACGGGCCAGGCCCAACCCACATCAACAGCCCACTGGCAAACCAGACTCCAACGGCCTACACACTTGCCGGCTTTACAAGTACCAGCAAGCGCCCACAACGTCCCACTTGCTCGCCAAGATCACAACTGCCAAAGAATAAGGAGACAGCAACGGCCAGGAACGTAACAAACACCCATAACGGCCACAGAACAAAATGAACAAAGAAGCCCACAGCCATCGGCTCCTCGTACTAACCCTTGATGATAACTCTCTACAAGCGATCTGCGCACAAGGGTTCTCCCACAGGGTTACCTTGGCCAGAAAATCGCCATGAGGGTTGGATTCAGGGGGACTACGGAGAGACCGCTTCGGCCAGGGACTCATGCAACTCCTTCACCCCTCACACTACATCGGCCTGAAGCAGTGGGGGACTGGGGGACTACATCGGCCTCAACGAAACACAAAGCATGGCCACATCGTCCACGCATCACAATGGACACATCGGCCAGAGGCACATGACATCATCAACAACAGCCACCCAAAGGAAAGGACGCCATCGTCCTCGAAGCAAGGATCAACCTCAACGACCTCACCGGCCCAAACATAAACTTCAACCACCAACGTCCAGGAAAGGGAAAGTGCGCCTTCAATGGCCGACATTGAAACAAGACAGTCATCATCCTCAAACACATCAAGGAAACAAACGGCCTCCCCGCCCACAGCGAGGAACAGGTAAGGCCAAAGCACAGAACAGGATCACCAAAAAGGAAACAACGCCAACGCCGCAACGGCTAACGGCCCGGGGATGCCCGCATCGGCCAAGGGCAACAAAGCACAGGAATCTACTCTCCTTCACTTCGTCTACGTCTCAGCTTAGAGAGTGGGGGACTCCTGATGGAGTATATGGGTCTGAGCCCCCGGACCCACATACTCGGAAGAACAGAAAGCACAAGACAACAGAGTGGCGCCCTCGTCGGCCAAGACGCCCCCGTCGGCCGAAAAGGGGCCAACTCGGATTATGGTCCTGAGTCCAAGGAACCCGGGTGCCCTCGTCGGCCGTGCCCTCTTCGGCCGCACCCTCGTCGGCCAAGAAGACCTCCCAGAATCAGATTTTATACTTACTCATTTGTACAGCCCATTAGTGGCTTTGTATTCGGCCCAGTAGCGGTCCAGTTGTAAATGGGCCTCCCAAGCCCAAGGCTTGGGAGCCCAACCCTAATTTTCTCTATAAATACTCCCTTTGGGAGTAGTTATAGGGGTTACAAAATCATTCTATTGAAGCATATTACTGCACTTCTCTCTCTAGCTCTCACTTCTCTCTAGATATACTCTATCACACACGTATCTGGGATGTGTGTGTTCTAGCACAAGCTGTTTTGCCGGGCCCGAATCAAGTTGATGTTGCCACCATCTTATGGACTCATTTCAACAACGTGGCAACATCAACAGGACCAATTGCTATGGGGGCCTCATCACACATCTAGCCACTTTATATGGTTTTATAGACCCCTGTCCCATCACCTCAAGACACCTTATTTGCACTGAATGGCTTTTACAAAAGACGCTAGACTTCGTCCCCTCGCACACAACACCAACTGGGGCACACATCTATAATTGGCGCATTCTCCCACGCACTTCCATCTACCTCCAGATACCCTCAGTCGACGTCCCCCTGGATATCATCAATCACCAAATCGGGGATGGTCATCACTATTGTCTTCCCGGGGCAATCCCGGATCATTATGAAGAACCCATCCAAGATGAAGATGATGAAGAACCCTCAATCATACCCGAACAACCACAACCTCAAGCATTCCACTACACACCTTTCGAGCAACAAATGCTCGATCACATGGTCACGCTCAACCAGAGCATTGTGAGGATGGAGGAGCAGCGGCAAGCAGACTGGCGTAGGTATGAGGAAGACAGGCAGAGATCTGAGGAGGATCAGCGTAGAACCTTTGGTCCGATATACTCATATATAGCACACCAGGGCTCCTTTTCCTCTATGACCACTCCACCTCCTGCACCATCATGGTATGACCCCTCTCAGTGGGGTTTCTTTGGAGGATCGAGCTCCGGTGGTGGAGGCTACGATGGTGGTTATGGCGGGGATCACATGGATGAGGACGGACACCAAGGTGGAGGTCTAGGCGGACACTAAGGACAGTGTCAGATCCTAAGTGTGGGGGTGCAGAGATCTTCCCGGTATGTTCACATTCACACTCTTTATTCTTGTTATCTTAAAAAAAACAAAAAAAAAACAAAAAAAAAAGAAAGCTTGTTGAGTTGAAAACCCGCAAAGGGCAGCTTAAGCAAAAATAAAGCAAAAATAAGAGTGAGTTTGTGAGATTTGAGAAAAATAAAAAAAAATAATAAATAAAAATAAAAAAATGTGGGAAGCTGGGTTGAAAACCTGAAAGGGCACCTAGGCAAAATGAGAGAATGAGAGAAAGTTATTTCTTTTGATTTTGCAAGATCCTGAGGGCGATTACTATAGAGAGTTCGGATTGAAATTGAAGACCCATCTTTACTCTTTTGGTTTTGGAGATGCTTTATGTATTTGTTATAAAAACTTGTGGATGTTGGTGTTGTTACCCTTGTCAATTAAGGACCCCTTGGACAGAATTTGTTTTACTCGAGACGAGTAAAAATTCAAGTGTGGGGGTGTTTGATATGCACTAGTTTGTAGTGCATAAATGTATGTTTTTATGTTGATTGGGTGTGGATTTTCCATCGCTTTTAGTTAGTTTGTAAGTACTTGTTTTATTTTGTTTGTAATTGCTTTCTCCGTCTTTTCGTAGTTATAGAATTGTGATAGAGTTTGTAGCAAGGAAAAGGGGAGAAAAACTGAAGACAAAAAGACTCAGGAGCACAAAACCCCGACCGGGTCAGACCTTGAACCCGGTCGGGTCAGTTGAAGAACAGATCTAAGAAGAAAAAGTAAGACCCGGTCGGGACCCTTACCCGACCCGGTCGGGTCAGATATGACCCGGAACACCAGAACATGCTGAAGATCACAAAGATTTGGAAAAAAATCTGATTTAGACCAAACCCGGTCGGGTCCCTCACTTGACCCGGTCGGGTCTGACTTGACCCGGGACAAATTAACGTGCTGGAACAATGAAACGTGGGAGATTATCTGATCTTGACCGGTACCCGGTCGGGTATGTACCTATACCCGGTCGGGTACCCGGCCAAAGGTGTTGAAAAACACCTATAAATAGCACTCTTTTTCTCCTCTAAAAATCATCCCTTCTTCCAATCTCTTTAGCTCAGTTTAGAATAGCATTTCTTTATATTTTTCTAGCTGTGTTTAGTCTCCAAATGAGGAGCTAAACTTCCATTCTTGGTGTTGCTCTTGAAGCTTGTTGATTATTAAAGTTGTGAGTTATTTTCTTAACTTCTTTCCTTGAATATTAATTAATAGTTCTTTCCTTAATACCATCTCTATATTGATGTTGAGGAGTGTTGCTAAGATGACAATTAGTTAACATCTCGACATTAGTTAGAATGATATTTTCTTCCTCTATATTAATATTGGGGAGTGTTGCTAAGATGACAATTAGTTAACATCTTGATATTAATTATAGTAAGATTCATCTTCTTTAATAATATTCTTCCTTGAATATTAATTAATCTCTACTCATATTTCATATTAATATTTTGAACATTACTTAAAGGATCAACTAGTTTTGTTTCATATATTAGTTATTACTAGAAACGATCAACGAACCGATGGTTAATCGTTGATGGTTTCACAAGTAAGTAACTTCGGTTTATTAATGCACGGTCGTGGTTAATAAACTTAAGAGGGATTAATTTTGTTGGTTAAACCGAAACCGCTTGTGTTGAGGTTATCAATCTCAATTGATTTCATCAAGGAGTTAGAAAGATTAAATGCTACTATTAAATCGGTATAAGGCGTTGTTCTATATTTGATTAATAGTAAGGGTTATTAATGAACGGTCGTTGTTAATAACTACCCTCGATGAAGTGGATATACTCCCCGATTGAGTATTCGAGAGGGAATAAGTTATAGATATGACAATGATCGACTAAAATATATCAACAAGTGGAAAGTAGCAATGCCAAGTCCTTTTTATCTTTGAATTAAACACATATAGGTTGTTCATCTTAGTTCTTAATTAAATTAAATCACTCAATCCAAATCCCCCCTTTTTATTTACTAAGTATCATAAAAAGAGAATTATTCCTTTCCCTGTGGATACGAACTCTACTACGCTATACTACGTATAAGTGTTAGTATTGAAAATTATTTTGACGCACCGTGACAAAGTGCACGTCAGCCTCCACCCATTTTGAAAAATAATCCGTCATTGCCAGCATATATACTTTTTGCCCCGGTGCCTCTGGCAATTTTCCTACGATGTCCATACCCCATTTCATAAAGGGCCATGGCGATAGGACTGGATGAAGCGATTCAGAAGGTTGATGACGAATTGGTCCGTGCATCTGAAAACGCTTGCATCTTTGAGTGAAAGTGGCTGCGTCTTCTCTCATGGTTTGCCAGTAGTATCCAAATCTAAGAGCTTTGTTAGACAGACTTCGCCCGGCCGCGTGGTTGCCACATTCCCCTTCATGAAGGTTTTTCAGCACTTTGACGGCTTCGTGAGGTGTCAGACATCTTTGATACGGACCTGCGACAGATCTTTTAAATAAAACACTGTCAATTAGTAGAAATTTACTCACCTTAGAGAGGAAAGCCTTGGCCTCTTTTTTGTCTTCCGGGAGAGTATTGTGCTTTAAATATGCTATGTACTGTTGCGTCCAGTCTTCTTGTGTTGGGGTTTCAACAGTAGAGACAACCTCTGATCTGTAAATTGCTGGTCTCATCAAGTGCACATAAGGGATGTTGCGATTAATTTCTGCCCCCAAACATGATCCGACCGCGGCCAGAGCGTCAGCTTGTGTGTTTTCTTCACGTGGGACTTGTTCGAGGGTTATCTCATCAAACGCCGTTATCAACTCTCGGACAATTTGCAAATAAGATGTCATCTTGGGGTCCTTTGCTGCATAAACACCATTAGTTTGATTAATTATCACTAAAGAATCGCATTTTACCTCCAAGACTTTGATGCCCAAGTCCCTTGCCAATGTGAGTCCGACAATTAGTGCCTCGTATTCTGCTTCATTGTTTGTAGCGGTGAAATCACAGTGTACTGCTTGGAGCATGGTGTCCCCCTGTGGTGACTTTAGTACCACGTCTAGGCCTGCGCCGTTCTGGTTCGATGCTCCGTCAGTATGCAACGTCCATTTTTGCTTTGGCAATCCGTCAATCAGAGTGCAGGTCTCCTTTTCCGCCTCATCTTGGAGCTTTGGACTGAAGTCCGCCACAAAACTGCAAGTGACTGTGATTTCAGGGCTGTTCTTGGTTCAAATCTTATGTCATAAGCTCCAAGTTGAATCGACCATTTAGCCATGCGACCTGTCAATTCTGGCTTCCTCATGATCGACCTCATGGGATAATTAGTTCTAACACAAATGGTATGTGATTCAAAATAAGGGCGTAATTTAATCGAAGCAATGACCAAAGCCAAAACTAACTTTTCAAGTAAGGCGTACCTGGATTCCGGGCCATTTAGGGATTTACTTACATAATAGACTGGAGTTTGCTGCCCTTGTTCCTCTTTTGTCAATACTGCACTGAAGACGTGTTCTGAAACGACCAGATAAAGCTGCAATTCGTCGTCGTCTTTGGGTTTTGCGAGCAACGGTGGTGACATCATGTATTCTTTTAATTGTTGAAGCGCCTGCTCGTGCTGATCTATCCATTCGAATTTTTTGTTCTTCCTCAAAACGTCATAAAACAAATGGCACCTGTCTGACGATTTCGAAATGAAGCGATTCAGAGCCGCGACTCGTCCCGTCAACCTTTGGACATCTTTGACGGATTTTGGAG